ATTTATCCTTGAATTCAAATTTAACACATTATACAGTGACTTAATGTCTCAATTATGAGAGACTCTCGACATCTATACTGTACTGCGGTACATATTTTWTAATTCTTTATCAAATAATAAAACTGTATTAGTACAATATTTAAATATGACGACTAATGTTAGAGTGATGTGATTTGTATATTTTTAAGGAGATAGTAGGCTAACTAGGCTGCTGCACCAGCCCTTTTCAGGTATCTAGGTGAAAAATCTAGATTTTTATTCTGCAACGGTATAATTTAATTTTCAATTTTTGAGGATAAAAATAAAGTTCAACGTAACCAGTGACCATGACCAGCAATACGATCAGAATTTATGTTTGACTCATATTTAACGTACATATACAAGTGGTCTTATAATATATATGTAGGGGTTATATTTTCTCATTAATATTATTTTCTAATCGTTCTAATAATATAATAATTTTCATATACCTACTGAAATATAATAAAGGTAGATGATCGTTTTATATAATGCTTAAATCAAATATTTTCAATGCTCTGATAATAAATTAATATTGTACTATATAAACATTTACTCCTGGTAAAAAAGTTCAARGGAACATATTTTTGGGATACAAATATACAATACTTAAATATTAACTGACAAAACATCAAATTGGTCATTATATAATAATTTATATATTTTCTACTTAAGTAAATAATATGTAGATACAATTTTAATTTTAAAATCAGAATTTTATAAAACAAAAACATAATAGATACAAGGACATTTCATCAATGTTTATTTTGTTATAATTGAAAAATTTTCTTTTTTAAGTAACAAAAAATCAAAAATATTTTATAATAGTACATTATAATAGTATTTACTCGACATAGTACAAAAAAATATAAAATCGATTCAGACTGTGAAACCTGGTATCACACATTGTATATTAATTTGTTGGATTTGATTTTATCATATACAAAATAAAAACTGGTGTTTTTATAATACCTTTGAACGTCTGTTTCAACACAAACTTTTGCATAATATTAGAGAATTCTGAAAATAAAGGATATAATCAGTTTTACATTATTTTGTTCACTTAAGTAATAATATTCCAATACAGGTAATGTTTTAGTTCAATATTTATGTAGTAGTAAGAAAACATGTTGTGAAATAAAATTACATATTATCAAAGTATCTTACTCGGCATTCGCATTTAGTACATTTATTAGAAACCCAAGTTCGTCCTTCTCTGCGCCTTCTTTTAACCGTTTCATCATAACAACCACTGTTATTGACTCTTGTCAACTGTCTAATTTCGCGTTTTAATCTCTTAATATCCAATTTAAGCCCGTCAACCACTGACTTTAGGCCTTCTAGTTTCCCCTCAGTCATGTTCATTACTTTGACTAATGCATCTTTGGACCTCATTTCTTCCTTTTCTTTAGACGAATTTTCTCCCGGACAATCTGAAATACACATATTTGTTATAAAAATAATCGCAAGCCTTGTAATATAATATTGTCCTATGCTTATACCTCCGTTGCATTCAAACCAAAGTCTCAGGTCAATACTAGGAATCGATTTACATGGTAATAACTTGGGTGATTGTAGCTCTGGTAACTTGAACACATCTTTAGATATCAAAGTGATATTGTCTCCATTATCGCAGAGAACTCTAGCAAGTGACGCTTGTTTGATTTGTGTGAGTTTTGCTGGACTGAAAGTCGAAGGGTTCTCGTACCAAAATCTAAGATGAAAAAAAATTTTCAGAAATGCACACGTGCAAAAAATTTCATTAAAAAACGAACCTGTCACCATTTCTTAAGTTTTTAAACTGTTCTATCAACAAACATTGGAATAATGGGCCGACTTTACCTCCTGCTACTTGATCTTCGAGAATTCCACCAACCCAAACATCGATATTACCTGAAAGAGAAAAAATAACGAATAATTATATTATGATGTTGAACAAAAATTAAATATTACTCAAATGTTTCTTACCCGGGTGACCGTACAGTTCCTTGAGTTTATTTCTCACATCGCTATCGCTGATTTCGTTTTTGAGGTCATCGAAAGTTTCAGCTTTAGACATGTTACACACTGTCCTCCATTCGGTATAACCGGGAATTCCGTGGTCTCTGCTACGTTGTATGTTCATCGCCGCCAAGTCTAATGATACGGCGTGTGCCGATGTGAACAAATGATCGATTAACTGATCGTTAAGGTTCTGTTTGGGCATTTTTCTTTTAGCGGGTACAGCAAAGAACCCGCGCATCAACGGGTCCGTACCACCTTCGTCAGACAAACGCCATGGTGTGAAAAACGCTTTTCCCAAAGATAGATCTCCCTGTAAATGATAATATGTTTTTTGAAATTTAATTTCAATGCCATTTCTACAATGTAAAATATCATTAGGTATACCTGAGGAATAGTAGTGAAGTTATCGTCTAGCCGGCTCAAAACCGGATTAATGATGGAATGGCCGAATCTGAGGGCAGCTGTGGCAAACACATTGGATATAGACGGATTTACGGTTGGATCGTATCCTTGATATTGGCCCAACATATCCATGCCTTTAGGTCCGAGTACGTAGGGCATCCAGTGCTTAAAGGTTATGTGTTGCAATTCCGCGCCCACGATTTTCCGCGCTTCGTGGAACAAGACGTCCCCTTCCCAGTGCGGGTTAATTGTGCGTAACTCTCTGGCGATACGGTTGTGTTCCCTAATCCAAATTGTATGCATGGCCAATAATCCCACCTGAGATATTAGTTTATCTGTTTTTAGTAACAGTTAATAATTTTTT